CTTCTGGAGAAAGACATGTGCAGGATCATGGGCCCCTATAGATCTTGCAGGGACAGCTTGCTATGATGTTCAACCCAGAGAAGATGAACCTGAAGGGAGGCAAAAGTGTCTCATCCTCTCAGATCCTCTCCTTTTCAGCACAGGGCAGCACAGGGGACCCTTACAAAGTCTATATTTTTATTCTTATAAACCTTGCTGAGAACAGTACGAGGCTTTCTTCAACCTTTTTGTTAGGCCAGGCATACAGAGGACACCCACAGTGGTGAGGCCCTGTCTACATGAGGGACTCCACTGTGGCCACTCCCAGGAAATGCCCCCCTCCCACCATAGGTGCCACTTTCCTCCTGTCACCCAACCCTTCTGGTCAAGCAGGCAGAATAGTCTCTCATGGCCTGCTGCCAGGACCCTCACTGGTCTTGCCAAAGGAAGGGCTACAAGCTGGCCTCTGAAGGTGAATGGCTTAGAGTCATGGACAAAGCTGATGGAGCAGGACAGGCAGAAGAACGTGGCTATTGTGTCCCTCAATGTAGAAAGTCTGCTGAGAGGGGTTCACTGGCCCACCCAGCCCTTTAACAACAGTACCTTTGTTATACTGTGGTGGCTTTTGTGTTGCTATGATGCTGGAAGCTATCTGTGCTACCAGTATTCCAAATTCTAGCAGTGTCACTCATGGTGGACAAGTTTCAGTGGAGCTTCCAAACTAAGACAGACTATGATAAAGGCCTGGTGATCTACTTCCTAAAATCAACCAATGCAAATCTTATGTATATATGGATCACAACAGAACATTGTCTGATATAGTGCTGGAAGAAGAGCTCCAAGGTTGGAAGGCTCTCAAACTGCACAGTGGTCGCAACAATGGACTCAAATATACCAATGGCCATGAAGATGGCACAAGACCAAGCAATGTTTCCTTCTGTTGTATGTGATATCATCATGAATTGGAGCTCACTTGACGACAACTAATAACAAGTTGCATGTGAAAAGGCTGATTGACTTGGGCTAGTGCCACAGTGCAGCTCTACCACAGCCTACATATGGACACATCTGCTCTGCTGAGCTCAAAGACTGTGAAGACATCATGTAATTCAGCTTTGCATTAGCTCCAAAAGGCAGATGGGGCTGGTCTTACAACCTCACCTGACTGCCAGAATCTTTGAGTACTGGAGGCAATTGTTGGAGGGCAACAGTGGGTTCTAGGAGGCCAAGGCTGGATGTGGTTCTGTATACCTGCAGGGTCCTCTGTGTTAGCAACACTGTAAGAACTTCTCTCATCTGCTTACCCCACACAATGTGACTCCCAAGTTGGCTCTTCTCTGCTGTCACCCCTGTCTTTGTCCTTTGGTTCCAAGAGACAGAATTCCATCTCAAGCTTTTCACCATTCTCCTCCAGGCTGAGGATCAGTGCTGTTTCTTCAGTCTCTCCTGGAATCTCTGTATCCAGTTACTTATTAAGGAGGCAGCTCTCTGATGGTTCATGGGACCCTGCTGGGGGTCACTTGAGTGAATAGATTGGACTGCAGTCCTCACATTCTGTGGATGCTTCTTATTTAACACCTCGGCCTGGGAGGCTAGAGAAGGAGTGTAACATGGGGTGGGAGTCAGAAGATGCCACTCTCTTCTTCCAGCCTTTCTTCATGGTGCCCTCCCAAGTTCTTGCTGGCCTCTCTCACAGCCCTGCAGTGGGCAGCTTTCCTCCTACTGTTGTGGGGTTCCCAGGGCAGAGGAAGAGGTTAGGGCTGACCACAGTCAGAAGTGAGAGAGGAGATGGGCACTCATCCTCTTTCTCCCTGGCCAAGCATGGTCCCACTTTCTGTTGATGTAAGTTCATCTTCAGGTTCACTCAGAGGTCTCTGGTGGCATAAATCGTCTGCTGCACTTAACTACTAACATAAAAGTTGGAGTTCAAACCCACTCAGTGGTACCATGGAAGAAAGGCCTGGCAATCTGCTTCTGTAAAAATTAAAGCTATGGAAGTCCTAGGGGCAGTTCTACTCTGTCATATAGTGTTGCTGTGAGTTGGAATCAACTCAGTGGCAATGGGTTGGTTTTTGGTTTTCAGCTTTACCCAGAGCCAGATTTTTCCTTAGACTGTGTTCTGATACTTCGTTTTCCCTCTACTCTGCCATGTGACTTTTGAATTACGGTCCTGGCAAAGAATATTGTATATACCATGGACTTCCATAAAAATGAAAAAAAATTGTCTTGAAAGAAGTATAGCAAGCATGCTTCTTAGAAACAAGGATGGCAAGACTTCATCTTGTGTACTCTGGACATGTCATTGGGAGGGACCAGTCCCTGAAGGACACCATGCTTGGTAAAGGAGAAGCTGAGCAAAAAAGAGGAAGGCCCTCAGCAGGATGGATTGACACAGTGGCTGCAACAATGGGCTCAAACATAGTAATGATTGTGAGGATGGCGCAGGACTGGGCAGTGTTTCGTTCTATTGTACAAAGGGTTGCTATGAGTTGAAACCGACTTGATGGCACCTGACAACAATATCCCTGTGACTAAAACTAAAGCACATGTTACCCCTTGTTATCTAAACTCATTTTCCATAATTTAGTATAATAAACACTCTAGGTGCAGCTGACAGAAGGGCTGGGAGGTGGTAATGTGCGTTGCATGCACATTATGTAAGCCTTTAGAAAAGATTAGTGATCAAAGAAAGCAGCCCTCTCCTTCAACCTATACAATAAAGTCATAAGACCTTTTTGCTTCCTTCAAGTTACAGAAATGTGAGTGGTTTCCACAATTTCCACATCTTAATGTTTTGGGTTCCATGAATCCATTTTAAGGAGTCCCTAGGTGGTACAAAGGTTAAGCACACAACTACTGTCCAAAAGGTTGGCAGTTTGAACCCACTCAGAGACGCCTCAGAAGACAGGCCTAGCAATCTACTTCCAAAAGATCACAGCCTTGAAAGCCCTATAGAGTAGAGGTCTACAATGCACACATAGGATCACAATAAGTCAAAATCTACTTGACACCAAGTAACAACAATGTGCCACTGTACTCCTTCCCATCTCAGAATAAAGAAGTTCCACATGAAACATCTTTAGTAGCAACAAGAATTATTTTACTTCTCACATAAATCAGGTTCTACCTGCACTGCAAATTTCAACCACCCCCTCCCAAGTGACATGGGCTGAATTGAAAGAATTTTGCAGGGTGTGGCGGGGTGAGGAGTGGGGAAGAGGGAGGGAGAGGAAGGAGTGCGAAGGCAGATCTCATACCAAGGTGGTTAAATTTACTGAATACTAACTACATGTGCGACAGGAGAGAGCACAAATGTCATAAATAGAATTGCTATTAATATGTTCTTAGCATATTGAACTGCATTCTATTAATCATTCCATTTTACATCAAAACATGAGGAAATAAGTTGCACCATTAGCGTTAACCCTGTAAATCCTACACATTCAGCTGGTAGCGCTGTGGTCTTCTAAAGCCATTCAAAGGCAAAAAATAATATTATTATGCAAGTAGAGTCTCACCAAATTCTGCTCTCACACTGAAGATGACACTAACCTTGGCTGAGAGGGGTCCATTATTGACCCGTAACCAGGGAGAGAACAAAAGTTAAATTTCCATTCTTATCAGTTGCAGTGGAGTTGATTTCAACACTGGGTGACACCATGTGTGTCAGAGTAGATCTGTGCTCCATAGATTTTCAATGGCTGATTTTTTGAAAGTAGATGGCCCAGCTTTTCTTCTGAGGGGTCTCTGGGTGGACTTGAACTTTTAACCTTTTAGTTATCTACTGAGTATGTTGAAGTCTACCAGAAGCCCCTCAAAAGGAAGGCCTGGCCATCTACTTGCAAAAAAATCAGCCATTGAAACTATATGGAGCACAATTCAACTCTCATACACATGGGGTCCCCATGAGTTGGAGTCAACTCAACAGGAATTGGTTCCTTGGGAAAGAAAAAAAAAAAAAAAAAAAAGTGGTGAAAAGAGTTAGAAGGTTCCAGTCATCATGGAAATGTGTTTATTTTTTAAAAAAGGTTAGTTAATAACATTTAAGAACTAAATTTCTTCTTATGCGTGTGTGTGGGTGGAGGGTGGCTATTTTTAAATGAGTGACTAAGCACTGTTACTGTTAGTATTTTTTTTAAAAAAAAATTAATCTAAAGCATATTACACACAGAGAGAAGCCAAGCACTTGCTCTAACCCTGATGGTGGTTCTTTTGACCCCCTAAGCTTTCAGGCCGTTACCCTGACATACTCTGCCTACTCTTACGCCACAGTTCCTAGTTCTGAGCAAAGCTCTCTCCAGAGCCATTTCCCCTGCATGCCCCCTGCTTGGTCACAGCCCGTGTGGAGATGACACCATCTCCCATGCACAGAAAGCTGTGAACGGCTAGGCAAAAACAAATCAACAAACAAAAACCAGTGACTCAAAGAATCCTCCAATGCATGTTTTCTGGATGAATTTCATGCACTTGCCAGACCACGGCACTAACACTTAAGCATAGCTTGGCTACTAACTAAAAGGTTGGCAGAGGTGTGTCAGAAGAAAGGCCTGGCAATCTATTTCTGAAAGATCACAGCCTTGAAAACTCTACAGAGAATAATTCTACTCTGACACCCTTGGGGTCACCATGAGTCAGAGTCAACTTGATGGCTACTGGGTGTTTTGGTTTTGATGGTTCAGTGGTAAAATTCTCACCTTCCATGCCAAAAATTCTCATGATTCCCAGCAACCACCACCCATCTGTCAGTGGAGGCTTGAGAGTTGCTATGATGCTGAACAGGTCTCAGTGGAGCTTCCAGACTAAGACAGACTAGGAAGAAAGGTCTGGCAATTTACTTCTGAAACTCAGCCAGTGAAAACCCTATGGAACACAATGGTCAATCCACAACCAATCACTAGGATGGTGCAAAACTGTGCAGCATTTCTTTCTATTGTGCATGGGGTCATCATGAATCCAGGATGACTCGACAGCAACTAGTAGCAACAAAACAACCCTTTGCATTCCCACAGCATCATACTCACCATCTCTCTTCTGCCTTCATCCTTCTCTTGAAGCTTCAGATGTGCAGACACCTGCAGGGGACAAGGACAGCAGTGTGGAAACTGAAGGGATGGCTCCTGGCAGGACCAAAGTAGCTATAGGATGAAGGTCCCTTAGAAGCCTCACATGGCTGTACTTTGAGTTTTAGACTTGAGAGGCTTCCTGGGTTCCCTGGATGACTGAGGAAAACCTGGGGAGGTCTTGGCTTCCTGATTCCCTTGGCTTAATAAAGACAGGGCCACAGAAGAGCACTGAATACCTTGGATGCTTCCTGTTAACTCAGGAAAATTATGTGTCAATGAGGGAAGTTAAAGGTGGGCAATTCAGAGATAAGGAGTTACCAGACATCAGGGCTTGATGACCTGCCACAAGCCAGGTATTAAGCCATTGGTGGTTGAAATCATCCATAGAGGGAATATTTACACAATAGAAATTAGCAGAGGCTACGTATCAGAGAAGAGCTCTGGTAGTATAGTGCCTAAGGCACTTGACTGCTAACCAGAAGGCTGGCGGTTCAAACCCACCAGCCACTCCTCGGAAGGAAGGTTGGGCAATCTACTTCCGTAGTGATACTGCCTCGGCAACCCAAGGAGGGGTCACTGTGAGTCGGGTCTGACTCGATGGCACTTAACAACAACAACAACGTATCAGAGAACTGTTTTCTTTTTAAGATCTTATTTGTCAGTATGCCACTGGGTCCCTGACCTGGCATGATAAAACTCTGGAGTCGATTCATTGTGCCCAGTATGTCTGTCTTGGTTTTCCTCCACCGATTTCTGTACCCTTGGGCAAATAAGGAGCCTTAGCTTCCTGATCAGCACACAAGGAGGTTAAAGAAAATCGTGCCCATCTCATGAGGTAGTGAAGTTGCTGTAAGCATCAAACAAGAGGCCCTGAGAAGCCGAGATGAATGGTGGTACAGTCAGGGTGCCAGACTCTGAAAGCACCAGGCCTAAGCCAGCTTGGACAGGGGACATCCACCTTCTGTGTGGCACCAGGTGTCACTTCTGCTTGCCCTGTGATGATCACAAGTGACACCCAAACATGCATGCTCATGTCTGATAGGTGATTAGGGTTCAGGAATTGGCAGCCACTCTACTCCCATGTGTGTGACAGTGCCTTGAGAAGTAAAAGGCATTCTAGCCTCAAATTAAAAGTAATATTCAAAGGTATTGTGAAATTCTCAAAACAAAGATTCAATTTAATTTCATTTAGAGAATAAATGTACTTCACATGGCAGAGCCTGGTGACAAGATTGTGGGGAGGATGAAAATGACAACAGAAGTCACCAAATGAAAGCAGTGAGTGAGCTGGAAATCAAAGCCACATTTCTCAACAATGAGCCACATGCTTAATTCATCAGTTCACTGTGAAGATACATTTTAGGGAGTTCTGGTAGTGTAGCGCCTAAGGCACTTGACTGCTAACCAGAAGGCTGGCAGTTCAAACCCACCAGCCATTCCTTGGAAGGAAGGTTGGGCAATCTACTTCCATAGTGATACCACCTCAGAAACCCAAGGAGGGGTCACTATGAAGTCAGGTCCAATTCCATGGCACATAACAACAACAACAACAAGATGAAGTAGCAATTCAGTAATCAACCAAGTAAGTGTAAAGCTTCCATTTACTAAATACATAGAACAGGGATCACCAGGGTGAAGAGAAAATTCCAAGAAGTGGCTCTGCCTAGTCTACTTGCAAACTTCACTAAAAGTCCCCTGCTCCCATTATAGTGTGCATTTGGAGGCCAAATAAACAATTCATCCACAAAGCACACATGGCTGCCCGGGAAGGCAGAGACATGTGGGGAGGTATCTTCTTACTCACGGAACACTCAGTACTCAGGAAAGATGAATGAGAACAACCCTGCAGGGACCTCCCTTCTGGTTCCCCACAAAGCAGGTGAGAGAGCAGATCATGTATCTGAAAAATTAACCTGCTTCTCTGTACTGAGCTCAAGATCCCTTGGAATTGCCCTTCAGATGAAATGCTATACAGTTGCCACGTTCTGACACTGCCAGGCAGGAACTCTGCCAAAATCAAAGCTAGGAGCTCAGGGTACATCCTCACAAGTTGGGCAAACCAAAGCAAACACCTATCGCCTAACCAAGGCACATAACAGACCAGGCTGGGAATATCACATTGTGTACCCAAAGAATCTGGGGACCTCTTTTGCAGTGGACAAGGGCAAAGCAGAAAACAAATGCCCCTTCCCCTGACACCCAAATGAGCCATGAAAAGCTACCAGATTACCAACTGACTTTAAGCTCTTAATGGGGGGGCCTTCTAGAGACTTCCACTACCCATAAATGTGGGCCAAGTCAGGATGAGTTGAACCTGTTAAAAAAATGGCCCTGGAATCCCAGGGTTATAGCACTTGGCTGGGTCATGGTCTCTTCAAAGAAAAAACAGCCAGGCCAGGCTGTTCTGGAAACTTCTTATATATGAAGCCACCTAGACATTTCTATGACCCCAAAAGGTGAAGTCACTTTTAAACCATCAGAGATGCTGGCCTCATCTACAGAGGATTTAAGTAAATACACTACAGGGTACTTTATTAGGAATAAAAAGAAACAGTGACTGAGTTGTAACAGCAATGAGAACTGACTGAACACTAGCTGTATCTAACTGGGACTGTATCTCTGTGTCACCTGCATTATTCTACAGTAGCAATGAGAATTGATTGAGCACTGACTATATGCTGGGACTCTCCCTCTGTGTTACCTGCACTCTCTCATTAGTATGCAAGTCACCCTTGCATGATCTTACCAAGGTGGACACTGAGGAGTTAGAGGTAAAGCTTGGCAAGGAAATCAAGATTAGCAGTTGAAGGCAAGAGACTTGCCTCTGCGTCCCAGTATAACTATCAGCAGTCATGTAACTTTGAGCTCAGGGCTTATGTGCATTCTGGGCCTGGGTCTAACAAGGTTTAGCAAATGTTGGATTCATTCACCTACATGGCAGATGAGCGACTTGGTGAATAAGACCCTCAGAGACCTAACTAAGGCACCAGGTTTGCTGGGAGTTGGACATAAAGTCACAGAACAACTCAAGGATGGACTGATGAAGAAGGAAAGCTGCCTCAGCCCACTGGAGGAATAGAATTGTGGTTGCCCAAGAAATAATCAGCCCTTCTTAGAAACCTGAGCACAACTTTGCCATCCAAGGACTAATAGAATGCAGGGTCTTGAGCATTCGTTTTCAGTGAAGCTGTCCAAAGAGCATACTTCTTTGGTGTTAAAACTCTGCTGGGAAGAGGGGCTGCTGATCACTTGTAGGTGGCCTGGCAGAGCCACCAGCTCCATGCATTACTGGGCACTTGACAATGCTTCTGTCTAACATGACAGTGAGAGATGAGTGACCAGGTAGCTGGAGCAGCAGGCTGGTGGGGGCACTTACCATCATGGCCTCTTGGACAGTGAGGTGTGGCAGCAGCATGTCATCCTGCATGATGTAGCAAGACACCTTCCGGAAGCAGCGGAGGTCCCGGGGCATGCCATTGATAAGGACTGCCCCCTTCATGCCAGTCTCCCTGCAGAGCAACAGGAGAAGCATCAGTGCCCAATAGCCAGTTCCTCTTGATCCTTGTCTTCTTCCACCTCCCTCCCAGCATCTTTCCAGCTGAACCATCTGCCATAGAAACACTGAGGGGCCAAAGCGGATGGGAGACCTGGAAAGAGAATCCCAGCAACCTGGAGGAAGAAGTTACACAGAGAAAATGCCCAGCAGGGGAAAGGGAAACCAAGCCTCCCAAGGATGGTCTATTTATAGCAAGTGGTAGTGGCTGTATCTTCTTTGCTACTAAACAAACAAGAAAAGATATTCATGGCTGCTCTTACATATGTAGCCACAAGGTGGGATGTATTCTCCCTGGCTTTGCAAGAGTTTGTAAGATTGGTTTCTGACCAATGGCTCCAAAGGCCAAAGACTTCTGCAGTCAGGAGGTGTGGCCAGTATGTCAGAGCCTATTTCTGAGGATCGTACTCAGACATTAACTGGGAAGGCATACCCTGCTTAGTCCTCATGTTCTGGTGGCTCAGAGGAAGAGAGTCTGGGCTCTGGTCTGGTTCACCCATGCAATGGTCCTTCTCCACCAGGAAAGGCTGTTCTCTCTGACCTCAGGGCACAGGTTGGGGGCATCCCAGGGAAATGTGAAGATGGAAGGGACATGGCCTCTTTGGCCATACTCATTCATTCATTCAAAGACTCATACTGCCTGATATGTTTCTGGGTATAGTGACCTAGCCCTGGGAGGTGGCAGATGTCTTAGCCTATCTATCTTCATGTCTTGCTAAAGATTCATTTCTCCAGCCCTGCCTCTCAGACACTGTGGAGGACAGAAGCATAGAAGAGTCCATGGAGACCAATGAATGAAATTATATTCTAGTTTATCTTTTCATTCAGCCCATCACTGTGACTGTGGACTTGCTGGCGGGTCTCTCCTTTCCTCCAGGGAATGGGCTGGGATCCAGGGCTTCCTCCTGCGTACCAGGCCTGTAAGGCCCAATCATCCCTAGGCTGCCATCTGGAGTGCTGGGATATCAAGCACAGTTCAGGTGGTCCAGTGGCTCTGGTGATTTGCTAAAAAGTGGCTGCCCTCACAGGAAATAGTCCACTCTTCTATAGCCTCTCATGACCTTGGGTAGTGGGAACTTGATTTTAACCTTTAGAGGTGAAGGTTTAATAGGATGGAAATTGTCATAAATGAGACTTTTATAAAAATCCTAATTTTTACCATTAAGGAGTAATTTAAAGTCCTAGGATGGGATGATATTTGTCTTCTTCTTCTCCCCCCACCCCCAGTAAATTTCTAATTATTCTTTACTATTTGCTAAAGATAGCAAGTGTAACTCATGGTAACTGAAAAGAGCTGGCATGAAACATGAGAAGTTTTTTTTTTTTTTTTTTTTTTAATTAACACTGCTAAAGATTCTGTTTTCTAACCATTCACAATGAATTGGATTGGACATGACAATGGACAGCGTGATTTCCAAAACACTAAACAACTAACATAATCACAGAAAGAGGTTCAGGAACTCTGGGCTTCAGCCAAATAGTTCTTATTCTTTTCTGAAAATTCTTTGTCTTACTCTTCAACCTTTCTGCTTACTTGATCTCTTACAATCTCCTTTCCCCAGCCTTGGCCTTCCTACTTCTTCTTGTCCTAAAAGACCTGGCCAAAGGCTGAGCTCCTTCAGGGTGCCATCCCTACTCTTTCTGTCTCAGGGACCCCTCTACCTGAGCTTGTATCCATTCTCCACCCATCAAGGGGCAAACATAACAGTGGCAATGAAGATGGCACAGGACCTGGCAATGTTTCATTCTAACATAAGGTAGCTGTGAATCAGAGCTGACTCAGTGGCAGCTAATACCAACCACTTTGCAACATTTTCAATGATATTCTCTTTCCTGGGCTGTTTCCCTCACAGGTTTCATAGATGCTTGATGATAAAAATCCTACCTCTCGCTTACCAAACCATAGGAAGTTGCCTCCTGTAGATAACAGAACACTTCTAGGTCAAGGATTGAAGTAGCTCCACTGTTCCTCAACTGGCCAGCCTCTGGCCAACACAATGGGGTGAAAACCTTGTTCTCCTGTCAGTTTTCTCACCTGTATCCAGCTAGAATGTTCATGAGTGTGGATTTTCCAGCCCCAGAAGGACCCATGATGGCCACCAGTTCACCACTGTTGAATTTTCCAGAAATTCCCTTCAGAAGGGTCTTGTATCCTACAAGAATCAGATCATATTAACTTTGTAACTATCACAGGATTCATTTTGTCTAACATAGGTATGCTTGACTTCAGATCTCTAGCAAAAGGTAATATTTTTCATACCACATTATAAAATTCTGAGTTCTAAATGTTGAACAAAACTCAAAATCACACACACAAAAAAGACCAGGTCTGATAGAGCCTGGTGACACCCTCAAGACCATAGCTCCTAGTTAGCCTTCTGGCATGGAATTGAACTCACTCCTGTGGCTTCCATTCAAACAATAGACAGGCATATAGGGTATACCTTTATACCATGTATATACACTCCTTGGAGCAATTAGTCATGGGAGAACAGAAGGGCAGTGTTTGTACAGGAAGAGAGCTCAGGGGGCAGGAGTGTATAGAAAAGGAGGACACAGGAAGAGGTAACTACAGGGAGGAAGTGGGAAGAAAGCTGTTACATTGTGGGGACTACAGTCAATGTCATGAGACAAAATGTATATGACTTCTCTATGGAAAATGAATTTGCTCTGTAAACTTTCACCCACATCACAATAAAAATAAAATTAAAAAGACATCAAAGTGCTAAAGATCTGTTATAGTCCCATGTGCCAGGTGAAGAAAAATTATTTGCCCAATAGGTGGAAAGTCTTGGCAATCTGCTTCCAAAAATTAGCCAGTGAAAGTCCTATGAAACACAGCAGAACATTGTTTGAGATAGTGCCGGGAGAAGAGCCCCCGGGGTGGGAAGGCACTCACAATATACAATGGCCACAACAATGGACTGAAACATACCAACAATCAGGAGCTCTAGTGGGGTAGTGGTTAAGGCATTTGGCTGCTAACCAGAAGATTCGTGGTTCGAATTCACCAGCTGCTCTGTGGAAGAAAGGTGAGGCCATCTGTTTCCATAAAGATGTATAGCCTTGTAAACCCAATGGGAGTGACTATGAGTTGGGGTCACTGTGAGCTGGAATTGACTCAATGGCAGTGAGTTTGTTTTTTTTTCTTTTTTTTAGTATAGGAATAATCAGGAAGATGGTGAAGGATTAGACGATGTTTTATTCTGTTGTACATAAGGTTGTCATGAGTCAGAGCTGACTTGATGGCAACTAACAATAACAGTGGTCACCCAGAAGGGGTGGGTAGCTTGGCCAGGCCTCACAGCCAGTGTGAGTGGGTGCTAACCACACCTCACCACTGCCCGCCTTGCTGCTGTGCCTACCATGATAAACACGTGTATTATGAATGTGTTCCTACAAGAGTTTAAAGCTCTATCAAATTGCTTTAGGATGTCTGCCAAGTCTCCACTTGAGAGCATTATAAAAAGAAAAAAGTGTATAGCCTAAGCAAAACCACAGTCATTTTATTTTTCATGTAAAATGTGTTTAAATGTACAATAAAGAATGAAGCAGAAGCAACTACATTCATACAGGAGTCCCTGCATGGTGCAAGCAGTTAAAACACTTAGCTGCTAACCAAAAGGTTGAAAGTTTGAATCCACCCTGAGGCACCTTGGAAGTAAGTCCTGCCAATCTACTTCCAAAAGAGCAGCCATTGCAAACCCTGTGGAGTACAGTTCCACTCTGATACACATGCAGGCACCATGAATCAGAATCAATTCTGTAGCAACTAGTTTGATTAAAGAATAATCACTCCTAATTCAAAAACATTCCTCATGCAGTATTAGATCAGAAAGTATCCCTGGATGATTAAGAATCATGAAAACATAGTATTTAAGGTCCCAGACATAATGTTCAAAGGGATCTAATGGGAAAAGGGATATCAGCCTGCTTTACAAATACCCTTAGTTTTGACTTTCTCTCTAATCAATGGTTGGCCCCTCTTTGATTCCCTTAGCCTGTGTCTGTGCACAGGACCCTGGCCCAGGGTCTGGGAAGTGCTCTACTTGCCATCCTCCCACTTCTCACAGATGGGACACCTGGATATTACAAGCTGTCACAGGTGCCTCCTTAATTTGGACTGGGAGTCCCTGAGGCCTCATTTAAGGAAGGCAGAGAGAAGCGGAAGCAAAAGGCAGGAAGCCTGAGTCCCTGAGATTCTGACTCATTATGGAGAGAGACAGTACCCTGGGGAGAGTGGAGAGAGCCGCCCCAGGGGGAAAAGGGGCAACGGAGAAGATGGAGATCAGTCTAGGAGAGCAGCCCGGAACTGCAAATGGGTCAGATTCCTGGGGTCAGGATGTGGATGATGAAGGTCAGCAAACATGGGGCACACATGACCCAAATAAAATTGCCCAGAAGAGAGTATGGGGAGCCTAACAGCCTCCATCTATTCTGGGTTGTGTCTGGCCTCAGCAAAGATGGACAGAAGAGCCACAGGCAGTGGAGACCATTCCTCAGTACAGCCATGCTGCCCACCGCCAGGCAGGCTCCTGATGATGGAGCTCTGGGCATTGGGACAAGGCATATTGGGGACTCTGGCCTCCTGAGTATCAGCATGACATCACCAAGGGAGTGCTATATTCCAGGTGCTGCTCATTACAGGCTTCCTGCCAACCCAGTCAGAGTCTGGATCATTCTCAAGCAAACTCTTCCCTTTTAGAGAGGGAAGTTCAGAGAAGACCCCGGGGCTGACCCCCATCAACCAAAGCTGCCTGAGGACACAGAGGGTGGCTGAGGTGACCACTGGTCCCTTGGACCCCAAGCATAGTCAACACACTGGGGTCATGTAGCCCCTGATGGCAACCTCGACACACCTCCTTAGGGTTATGGAAGGTTTTTCCTTTGGACACCTTGGGGAGAGCCCATCAGTCTTTCTTAGGCACAGCCACATTCAGGGCACGGTTTTGACAGAACCTGGTGCTAGCCCTCTGATGCTGGGATCCATGGGGTACCACATAATAGGGCAGACTAGAGGAAGTTCACAGGACTGAGGTTCCAGGGTGCCAGGAACAGCACATAGGGTGGGAGCAGGAGAGCACTCAGCCCTTTCAAGGGAAAAAGCAGAGCAGGGGAGGACGTGGTCCTGCTGTTTGAATCACCTCACTGGAATTTGGAGGTCCGCATGTGATCCCCAGCACTGAACTGAGGCCCCAGAGAGCAATGACTCACTATGGAAGAGACACATTGGCCCCAAGTTGATGAAGGAGAGTAGAGAGTATGAGGAAGGTGCTGGGGGGTCTCTCAGTGGAGGAAACACAAGATTCAACTTGGAGCTGGAGCTTCTAATGTTAGAAACCTGCTTTTCTTTAAAATGTTCAAAGTGACATTGGAAATAGAAGTTAAGTAAACATTGATATCCCCTACTCCTGGGCAGAGTTGGTCCCAGTGAAGACAGTGTATATTTAGAAGGAATTTTGCAGGTCCCAGTACAATGTGGAGGGACAAGATAAACATGAGCTAGAGGCTTTCCTGTTATGGCCAGATTTTGTGTGTCTCCACAAACACAAAATAGGTCTCTATTTCGGTAATGAATTCATCCTTCTCTACAGAGCCCCAGGTTTTGTTCCTCTTACAGAAAAATAAAATGAAGGCACTCCCTACCCTACTTTCCCAACAATGACACCGCCTACCTTCACATACTTGTCTACACTTGTTTACACAGATGTGTGTGCTCCACTATTTGTGTGCTTGTTGTTGTTGTTGTTGTTATTGTTGTTGTTAGAGAAAGCAATTCCCAGATGACAATAAGCTAGGAACCACCAGAGAGACAAGACCATTAGATGTTCCTCAACAGTCTACACAGGGTGTCAGTATTCTGTCTTTATAATGGCCAGGCCAAAAGCCAGACCTCCACAGCCAGACTAAAGTACCAGAGACCCAGGTCACCAGGAATCCTCTGCAGGCCTGAGTGGGAAGAGGAGGAATGGTCCATTCAACTGCATTGCTATCAACTCCTCCCTTCCCCGCACTAACCCCAATGTCTTTGTCAAGTGCTATGGTCCCTCTGAATGTCGCCGGCTAAGAAATAATGGTACAGCTTAATGCCTTTTTAGGAAACGTGAACCCAGTTTGATTAATCAAGATCAAAAAGCTGTAAGTTCAGTTAGGGAGGATGTGTTAATTCCATCCTCTGGGAAATGAACAGAAATGGAGGAAGAAGGGCACCCAGAACCAGAGATGAGTGTGGGGTCAGAGCCACAGACCTGGGATCCAGATTCCAGCTTGGGAATTAATTAGCTCCATACTGGTGTGATCAGAACTGTCTATCTTCTTAATCACCACATCCCACGTTGGGTTGTTGTTAGGTACCAATGAGTCAGTTCCAACTTATAGTGAGCCCATGTACAACAGAATAAAACACTGCCAGTTCTGCACCATCCTCACAATTGTTCAATATTTGAACCCATTTTTGCAGCCACTATGTCAATCCATCTCTTTGAGGGTCTTCCTCTCTTTGCTGACCCTCTATTTTACCAAGCATGATGTCCCTCTCTAGGGACTAGTCCATCCTGATGACATGTCCAAAGTACAAGAGACGAAGTCTCGACAACCTCACTTCTAAGGAACATTCTGCCCATACTTCTTCCAAGACAGATTTGTTCATTCTTCTGGCAACCATGGCATATTTAATATTTGTCATCAACACTGTAATTCAAAAGCACCAATTCTTCTTCAGTCTTCCTTATGCATTGTCCAATTTTTGCAACTGAAAATACTATGTCTTGTATCAGGGACACCTTAGTCCTCAAAGTGACATCATTGCTCTTTAATACTTCAAAGAGGTCTTTTGCAGATTTGCCCAATAGAATAATTCATTTGATTTCTTGACTTCTGCTTCCATAGGTGTTGATTGTAGATCCAAGTAAAATTAAATCCTTAATAATTTCACTTTTCTCCATTTATCACGATTTTGTTTATTGGTCCAGTTGTGAGTATTTTTGTTTTCTTTATATTGAGGTGTAATCCATACTGAAGGTTGCAGTCTTTGCTCTTCATCAGTAAGTGCTTCACATCATCGTCATTTTCAGCCAACAAGGTTCTGTCATTTGCATATCACAGGTTGTTAAGGTGCCTTCCTCCAGTTCTGATTCCACATTCTTCTTCATGT